GGTGGGTTGGTGGGTTGGTGGGTTGGTGGGTGGGTGGGTGGGTGGGTGGGTTGGTGGGTTGGTGGGTTGGTGGGTTGATGGGTTGGTGGGTTGGCGGGTTGGCGGGTTGGCGGGTTGGCGGGTTGGTGGGTTGGTGGGTTGGTGGGTTGGTGGGTTGGTGGGTTGTTTGGTTGGTGGGTTGGTGGGTTGGTGGGTTGGTGGGTTGGTGGGTTGGTGGGTTGGTGGGTTGGTGGGTTGGTGGGTTGGTGGGTTGGTGGGGTGGTTGGGGTGGGTGGTGGGTGGGTGGGTGGTGTGGGTGGGTGGGTGGTGTGGGTGGGTGGGTGGGTGGGTTGGTGGGTTGGTGGGTGGGTGGGTTGGTGGGTTGGTGGGTTGGTGGGTTGGTGGGTTGGGGTGGGTTGGGGTGGGGTTGTGGGTGGTGGCGGTTGGTGGTTGGGTTGGTGGGTTGGTGGGTTGGTGGGTTGGTGGGTTGGGTGGGTTGGTGGGTGGTGGGTTGGTGGGTTGGTGGGTTGGTGGGTGGTGGGTTGGTGGGTTGGTGGGTTGGTGGGTTGGTGGGTTGGCGGGTTGGCGGGTTGGCGGGTTGGCGGGTTGGCGGGTTGGCGGGTTGGCGGGTTGGCGGGTTGGCGGGTGGCGGGTGGCGGGTGGGTGGGTGGGTGGGTGGGGGGGTGGGTGGGTGGGTTGGTGGGTTGGTGGGTGGCTGGGTGGGTGGGTGGCTTGGTGGGTTATATAGTGGGTGGGTGGGTTAGTGGGTGGGTGGGTGGGTGGGTGGTTGGTTGGTTGGTTGGTTGGTTGGTTGGTTGGTTGGTTGGTTGGTTGGTTGGTTGGTTGGTTGGTTGGTTGGTTGGTTGGTTGGTTTTAAAGGGACACATGGGAAACTAAAGGAAGTACGATCCAGGTTGCCTTGGTTGGAATTTTGGGATGTGCTTTTCTTGGTGGCACCAAGGACAGGGCATCACTTGTCAATTTCTTTGCCGAGTAATTGCCATGGCGACCCAAGTTGGTTTAGCTTTGATCATGTTGATCCTGGTTGACTTGGCTTGGTGGTTCCCAGCCATCCGGTTCAGCTTAGCTTGTTAATCCTTTCTAGGGACGATTTAGTGGTTGGGTTTCCGAATTTTAGTCACGAGTTCAACCTTTAGCGGGGATCTGAGGACAGCCCATTTTTGGGGGAACTCCCTTTGTTGGTTGGCTTTTAAGGGAAACTAAAGGACATGTGCTCTCCTTTTGGGTGTCACCTATTTTAAGACATGGATGGTTTCAAAATCCAGAAATCGCACCTTGAAGAAAACCAATGATTATCCTGTAAATATCAAACAAACGTTATGGCTTCAACCATGGTTTCAAAGTGGGGCGAACGGATTTCGTCCATCCACGGTACCTTGCCAACCTCAAGTTGATTCCAGAAGTCGTTCAAGATCAAAGGCACAACCTTACCGGAAACAGCACAGATTAGGACTCAGCTTAGTGGTCAGTAACCACGCAGGTTCAAGCCCACCACAGCTACGTGTGGGTTATAATTTAAGCAGAATAGCCACAGTTGCAAGCCCCCATGTAGGTTACATTTAAGCAGAGTTACTCAGTGGTTAACCCTAGTAAACGCCCAAAGCCCATAGTCCCCCAAGACCGTGGCGATCCAAATTAACCCCAGCTCTCAATCAACCAGTTCTTAATCCTGGGTTCCCATTGAATGGTAACCCACATCACACCTTGGACCCCGGAGCCGAAGGTTGTGAAGCTTCCAGTCAGGCTTGTGAGCCGTTCCTCCCTTCACCTTGCAAAAAATGGTCCAGTGCCTTGGGTTTCTTGGGATTGTTTACCTGGCAGGGTCTGCAAAGCAACCTCGTGTACCCGACGCATGGTATTTGGTGCTTCTAATTTAACGTGTTTTGGCTCCGTGGCTCCTGCTCCGTGCCTTGCAGCCCGCCAAGGCAAGCCCGTGTTGTCCCTAAACCGAAACCTGCACCCTATGTCGACCATAGCAGCCGTGGTCGCTGTGCACCCCCCCGTGGTCCAATTAGATGGCAGCAAGGAGAAGGTTTTTTGGGCGAGCCCATCGATTCGGGGGCAAAACGAGCGAAAACCATGGTAAAGATCCTGTACCTGGGAATTCCTTATTTCAGGTTTTGGACATACTGTTAAAATGCAGAACCAACTGAAAAGCTCGACGTAGTGATCAGCGATGACGTTTCGCTGAGTCAAAAACAGAGCTGAGTTTCGGCCGCTCCAAATACAACTGCCACGCTTTTTGAGCAATCGCAGCCTGAGCCATGGTGGAGAAGAGTGACATGAGAGAGGATTCGGGAGCCCCAAAGATCACAAGAAAACTTGGCCTAAAATGTTGGTCGTTTACTCCTGTTTGTGGCTTGGTGTACTTCTTGCCCGGGGAGGCCTCCTTTGATTCACTGGCAAGGCCACACCTGGCTGATCGATGGCGCCAAGGACAAGGCATCACTGGTCAATTTCTTTCGAGTGCCAAGACGACCCAAATTGGTTTAGCTTTGATCATTTTGATCCACGATGAATTGGCTTGTTGGCTCCCAGCTATCCCCTAACGTGTTGGGTGTTTTAGTGTGTAGTGGGGGGGGGTTCCATTTAACCCACTACTGTAAAAGTTAAACTTTTAGAGGGGAATCTGAGGACAGCCCAGTTGGGCGTTTCAGGAAACCTACCATTTGCAGATATTCTCTTGAGAAACTTCCACTTATGGGCTGGAAGCGCCTCTTACCACTTTGGTTGATGCAAGTCAGATGAATTTTCCGGGTGGTTCATGCTGCCCACCTTTAGCTTCATGCAAAGAGGATAGACGGGGTTATATTCAAGCTGACGTTTGATATTACATGGTTTTAGGAGTGTGCGAATGTGTTCAGCAAGTTATGTTGCTGGCCAAAAGGGTGACCAGGGAAAGACATGCATGGTTCCTTTAGTTACACGTAGCTTGTGGACAGCCAGCAACAGGGGACAGACAAAAGCACAATATAATTTAAGAAAGGGAGACATGAATACATAGCCACAATATAGGAAGCAGCTACAAAACAACACAACACAGAGCTAACACAAAACATAAAAATAACGAACGCTGTACACAGTAACATGAATTAACCAATGAGAACCAAATACATAAACAGAAGCAACCAGCACCAATAAAGTATTTTAAAATGGAAACATAAGGACCAACGTCAAGGAAATAGATTCAAACAAAACATACCAATATATATATAACTACATACATCCGCTACACACAAACACACATAGATACATGTGAGTTCAGAAATACACAAGCAAACTACAACATACAGACACATATATCAGCAACACAATGCGATTTAGCAAATTCAGTGAACATGCCAAGAACGATAGAGAGAGAGAGAGAGACAGAGAGAGAGTCAAACAACATATATTTGCAGAGGGTGATCACATACCGTGGGTAAGAATTGCTGATTCGTTCACCGTGTGTCCTTGATGGCATATGGTTTGTTGCTGGTGCCATTCCGTGTATCATGTTGGGTCTCGGTGCCAGCTTAGGACTTTAGAAGACACCAACATTTGGATGATGTTTTTGTGACAAAACCAACGTGCGACGGGTCCTTCAGCTGGGTCGACGTTTGATGACATCTAGTGCTTTCTAGGCTAAACTTTCGACACGCTTTACATGGGAGTTTTGGGTGGAACATTGACTCACCACCCCTTGCTGCTCCAAAAGCATATTGAAACGTTTTAGCGGCGGGGGGGACGAGTCCAGCGTGAGGCGCGGCCCCACACCATCTACCGCATCCAGCTGCTTTGGAGCGAGGAGCTGCGGAAGAAGAGGCGGACGTGGTGTCTCGGATGGTTGGACTTTCATGGATCTGACCATTTAATCAGAATTTGTTGTTGTTGTTGTTGTTGTTGTTGTTGTTGTTGTTGTTGTTGTTGTTGTTGTTGTTGTTGTTGTTGTTGTTGTTGTTGTTGTTGTTGTTGTTGTTGTTGTTGTGGTTGTTGTTGTTGTGGTTGTTGTTGTTGTGGTTGTGCGATCGTGGTCGTGGTCGTGGTTGTGGTCGTCGTTGTCGTGAGCGCAACACAACGGCTTGCGTGTCTCATGTTCTGCCATGAAAGTATGAGATGTGCCTCATGATATTACATGTGGCATGTGGTTTATTTTTTGGGTCCTTCCTTTGCTTTGGAGGGGATTATCTTTAAAACCATCAGCCACACTGGTGTTGTCTAAAATGGGAGGCCCCAAACAATGGATTGTTTTCTCTTGAAAGCCTTCCACACCTACATAGGCGCTACATCATACGTGACCCTCAATTTTTCAAGTCTCCTCTATGAACTTCCCTGTGGGTTTGTGTCACAACCATGGTCTTCTTTGAAAGCATCCAACCGCAATGACGGCCGTGTCAGGAGCCATCAGTTTTTGCCGTTCTCTGGCAACATTGCTCGAGCTTCCCCCACACGCAGGTTGCCAGGATCAAGAAATGGAGCTATGCGGACTTGGGAGTCCTCTGAAACAGTATATAATTTCAAGCTTTCCCTTTAAACCATCCTGAAAAGGGTACCCTCAAGAATGCGCACACCCATGATGTGTTCTCAGAATCAGCTTTATTTTTGTTGATGTTTTTTTCTTTTTCGATGCATCTCCGTGGCTTGATGTGCAGCTTTCGGCTCAGGCGACCTCAAAGCTCCCAACCCGGCATCCTATTTTTCTGGTAGTTTCGGAAGTTCAGGAATCCTTCTTTCCAGAGAACCGAAAGCCCAGTTGAGCCAAACTAGGAGCTACTTCTGATCAGAATGGGGAATCCCTGAGAACTGGCTCCCCTAAGTCTGACCCATGCATCCAGCAAGTCGACAGAGAAGTTTTGAGAACCTAGAGTGCGCAATTGCCGGCCAAAGCCGCTGTGTTGCGAACAAGGGCAAGTTACCTGTTACCTGTTTAGCATCCTTCGCCTGACTGACCACCCCACAGGCAACCGTGGCTTGTCAAAAAGCACAGCGTGCTGAACTGCAGACAGCAACTTGGCTCTGCGATGGCGAGTGGTACAAAGAGGCCGCGGCTCGGGCGGGATGAGTCCGCCGTGGAACGACAGATGCGGCAGGCCGGGCTTCGGGCTTGGGCCGAGGTAGCCGGATCCCGATTGTTGTGGGATCCCGATTGAACTTGTTTTTTAGATGTTGAGGTTCAGCGGCCAGCGTCAAACCATTCGTTGCTGAGAGACAGGCCACCGAAATGGGATCGCTCTGCTGTGGGCTGAACACACAACACTTGGGTTTGAATTTCTTGCAACTCGCACTTCCAAGGCCCTGCGGTTGTTTGAAGTGAGTCAACCCAGGTAGCTATGAGACTCACATACAAATCGTCTGCAAACTGATTTTAAATGAGAAGGCGGATCTGGTTCGTATTTAGTCAGGACTGGGGCCAGCGCCACGTTGTCAGCCTGGATTGTTCGAAGGCACGAAGTCTGACGTTTCGCGCTTTGGCTTGTCTCGGCAGCTTTATTTCTGGTTTAGCTAGGCGTTGGCTTTTTACAGGCAAGGCCAGTAGTGGTCGAGTAGTTTTGAGTCACGTACGCACTAAAATTTGGCTAGTTGGAGTTTGGCCGGATCAGTTTGCCATCAGGAGACATTGTGCTGTTGCTGTTCCCCTATAATATATATATATATATATGTATAGAGAGCTTAGAGATCCTTTCATTGATTCAATCTGATGAAGCGTGCTTGCGCTCCGAATTGTCTATTCATTCGCACAACGCTTGATTGCTCTTCGGTGCCTTGAGTCCCGTGTGCTTTTCTTTCGAAATGGAAAACACTAGTTTGAGAAACCCGTTCAAGTCACTTTAGGTATGTCTTTCTTGGAGTTGGTACCTGTTTCGTGGGTTTTCAAGGGAAACCCACCCAAAATATGCGAAGCCATTTTGAGGGTCCACTTAAAAACGACACCCATTTATTTGGAATACAATTTTGATGGCACAGCGACCCGACATGACTCCTGGACTCCAGAGAGGGACGTTGTTTGGGCCAAAAAGTGAATCATACTGAACAGAAGCATGGGGTGTTCCCGGAGGACTCAGCTTCCACATTTCTCGCAAAGTGATTCCCTGCGTTTTTTTGAAGGGTTCATGTTTATATTGGGAGTACTTGTCCCTGAAACGACGGAAAAAGGGCAGGGCTTCTCAAAATCACGGCAGACCTAAAATGGCCGGTTTTCTTCTTTTGGTTCCCTTGCGAAGCCGCCCCAAAAGGGGGTCCATCCTAATTAGAGAAACCCATACGTGTTAACCAAGGAGAAAAGCCTGTATATTTTCCTTGGTGTTTTCCTCTGAACCAACAGCAACATAAAGCTCCTCCACACTTGCTTTTTCGTTGCGTTCTCCTTTGGTTTCCCCGTAAACCAACAGCACATACCGGGCTATCTTCGGTCTTGGCCGAGGGGGGGGTCTTGACTGCTATTGCCTTGGATCTTTAGACTCGTTAACTTTTTGGTTGAAACAATTGAGTGTGTTCCACTCAACCCCCAACAAGTTGTTCACTTTATGTTAACTTTTCGGTTGAAACAGTTTTTTGTGTTTTCCACTCAACCCCCGACAAGTTAAACTCACTTTTTTGCAGGGGGGTCGTTGCGGCAAGGGTTGCCCGAGGTGATCCGGTTTCTGGCGGACGACTCGCTGAAGGGCCGCCAGCCGGGCACCTTCGGGGAGGAGGTGGCGGCGGCCTATGTGGCCGCGCAGATGGAGGAGATGTGGCTGTGGTGGTCAAAACCGTTTTGGGATCCCATTTTGGTTGGTAGGTGAATTCACCGCCCATTTTAGAACCAATGCTAGGTGTGTCGGGAATGCAGGTGTCGGGAATACGGGCCGGAGTTTCGGGAATATGGAGTCGAGAGCATGGCTGGGAATGTTCCGTATGGATTGCCGTTTCGGGAAGTAGGTCGCGTGGAATTCCTGAAATACAGACATTGTTTCAACACTCAGAAGGGACAGGCCCTGCGTAATTTTAGGAAGATTAGAGTGTCTCAGCAAAGATTGGGTGTTTCAGGATGTGCAGTTTCAGGATGTGCCGTGTGGTTTTAGGAAGTGCAGAATCTCAATAATAATTCGAAATAGTTATAGGAATGTCAGGTTTGCAGGCTAAAAAGAGAATCTCATATTGGGCTATAGATTTCCAGGAAATTTGAGAACTTAGGGCTGAAAAAGGAAGCTGCTGCAAAGGAGGGTTCTAAACGACCCCAGGAAGTGTATAATTTCAGGAATTTCAGGAATTCCATAATAATCCCGGAGGAAAGAGGCGGCGAGCTCCCTTTCAGCAACTGGGCGGTAGATCTTGAGCTACACATGGTAAACAAAGTGAGAAATTCCTTTCATTCCCGGCCTCTGGGATCTCCGGCCAGTTCGCAGGGGAAATGGGCTTCCTGCGGCGGCGGTCTCCTCGTGGCTGAAATGGCTGGCTTTTTGAACGTATCGTCGTCTCAATTTTTTTTTGGGGGGGGAACTTCTGCAATTCTTTCGTTGCGTGGCTGATTGACGGTGCGCCCGGCGACCACGCGGCTGTCGCTCAAGCGGCCTTTGGGCGCGAAGCCTTGCGGGAGACGGGCTGTGGCTGTGGCTGTGGCTGCGGGTTGGTGGCATGGTTGGTACGGCGAGCAGGGGCATGCATTGAACCATTCATTTTGCAGGCAGAAAGTGGCAGGTATTCGGGTTGTTAGATGATCAAAAAGGCATTGGATCACACATTGTTGAACATGTTAGGTGGGGTTTAGGTGAGGTTTAGGGCCAGCTTAGGGGGTTCATTTAGGATTAAGGTTAGGTTGGGGTCGGGGGGCCCCCCATGATGTTGGGAAGTCAGGAAGGCCAAAAACTTTTCAGGAAAGGCTGGTGATTTCAGGAAAGGCTTCGTTGTGTCGGAAAGACTGGGTGGTTTCAGGAAAGGCTGCGTGGCTTCAGGAAAGGCTAGGTGGTTTCAGGAAAGGCTAGGTGGTTTCAGGAAAGACTAGGTGAGTGGCTTCGTGGCTTCAGGAAAGGAAAGGCTAGCTAGTTTCAGGAAAGGTTTCAGGAGCGGCTGCGTGGCTTCAGGCAAGCCTAGCTGGTTTCAGGAAAGGCTGGGTGGTTTCAGGAAGACTAAGTGATTTCAGGACAGGCACCTGGCGGTGGAATTTCTTTTTAGGAACCAGGTGGAGGATGGCTTTTTAAGGAGCCAGGCGGTAGACTCCCTTTTCCGGCACCAGGTGGTGCATTATTATTTTTTTCAGGAACTCGACGGCGGAATCCATTTTCAGGAACCAAGTGGAGCAATAGTCCACCAGGAGGATTGTCTTTTCAGGAACCAGGACGTGGACTCGCTTTTCATGAACCCCCCTTGTTGTCGGCAACCAAGCAGACAGCGGACTCCTTTTTTCAGGAACCAGATAGTGGATTCCCGTTTTCAGGAACCATATTGCAGGTTCCCATGCTCGGGAATCAGGTGGCTGACTGTCCTTTTCAGGAACCCCCTTGTTGTCGGCATCCACGCGGACAGCGGGCTCCTTCTTCAGGAACCAGATAATGGATTCCTGTTTTCAGCAATTGCAGGTTCCCGTGCTCGGGAATCAGGTGGCTGACTGTCGTTTTCACGAACCCCCTTGTTGTCAACCACGCGGACAGCGGGCTCCTTCTTCAGGCACCAGACAGTGGATTCCTGTTGTCAGGTACCATATTGCAGGTTCCCGTGCTCGGGAATCAGGTGGCTGACTGTCCTTTTCAGAAACCATGTTTTCATTAACCGTGAGATTTCAGGAACCATGTTTTCAGGAACGTTTTCAGGAACCATATTGCAGGTTCCCGTGTGCTTTCCGGGAACCAGACGCTGATAATTGTGCTTTCAGGACCTCGGTTGAGTCTCGCGTTCGAGATTTGGAATGTTGCATGCATGTCCTGATGGGGTACGCTGCCCGTTGAGCCTCCAAAACTGGCATCCATTCGTTTGGGAGCCTCGGGGCGCGTGGGTGAGTATTATTGCTCAGGCAGCAATGGGTGGATTGGCACCGCAAGAACTGGGCAGCACGTTTGGTTTGTTGCGGAAGCTGGTGCTTCTTCTCTTGGTTTCCAGCAGCTGTTGGAGGCCTCCCAAGCTGCAAGGGCGAAGGTGCTTTGTGGCCTGGGATAGCACTGACAAGAGCTGGACCTTTGCAGGTTCGCGCGGCGGTGCCATGTCCGAGTCGCAGCTGCCGGCTCTGGCCTGAGACTTTGAGACTGCGGGAGTTTTGGGGAGTTTTGTTTGGAATCTCATGTAGATTCGCAGACTGAGTGGGCATTCGGCTCGTGGATTTTTTGTCTCAGGAACCGTAGAATTGGGCTGGAAGCGGGCTGCTCTATGTTTCGCACCCCGTCGCCTTTACGGTTGACGCAGGGAACCATGTGCCTGGTTTCGCGGTTTTGTGATTTTTTACGTGGGGCTGGAACTGTGCGGTGGACATTCGCGTCCAGATACCGGGTGTTGCGCTTCTTGTTGAGGGACACCAGGTAAGGTAGAGGCTGCCCCTTTGTTCAAGTGTGCTGCTGATTTTCCGCTCTAGGGAGAGAAGGAGCTGCCGGCAAAGACGCCCTGGCGACCAGGGGGGGGGGGGGGAGGGGGGGCTTTCAGGAACCTGTGCAGCGTTGATTTTTGTAAATTGGGAGTCGTGGTGTTGGTCATTGTTTTAGTGCGTCTGATCCTGTTTCTTTCCGGCGACCAGATGCTTGATCCTGTTCTTGCCAATCAGGGGCGGAGTTGGCATTGTCCTTTGCGTTGCAGGAGTCCGGTGTCGAGTCTTTTTTTTTTTGCGTCCTCTGTGGGTTATTGTTGACTCCTCGCTCCTTGTTTTCTGGGCCTCGGAGCTCTTCGCCCCGTGGTATGTGCGACTTGTGGTGACGGCAGTATGAGGTTGGCAGTCGAGTTGTGCGTTCTTCCGTTAGCGGCGTCAAAGTCCGAGAGTATGGGTCAGATGTTTGCATCAGTGCTTGTTCAGGCGCGACAGCTTGACCAAAAAAGGCTGAATGGGCGCTTTAACCTAGAGGCGCTGCACGGCGTCAGGGTAAGGATGCCCAGCCATGTGCTGGGCAACGTATGGGGGGGTGCGTGGCGAGTTTTTTCTTGTGGTGAGGTTGGCGCCGGAATGCGCGATCTGCTGAGGGAGCTTCACAACACACAGGCCTTTGCGCCTCTGCTCGGAGCGTGATGTGTGCCTGGCACGAGGCTTGGGCTGATCTTGCGGGCGACATTTGCGACCAGGCAGCTCTCCAGGGCTATTTTGGAGCAGCGATGTGGCGGATGCGTTGCGCAGGCAGTTACGCGGGAGCTGCTGGAGCACGGGCCTCAGCAGGACGCCGGCGTCTGGGCCGAGGCCGGGCTGCATTTGCTGCAGCGCATGTATGGCTTGTGGCCGAAGCAAGAGGCTCTCTGGGGCACGGCTGCTGCGATCTCGTTCACGCAGGCGGCTGCAGTTTTTTCTTCTTTTTTTTTGTCGCGCCGCACGGTCGGGCGTCCGACTTGTTCTGGTGAGTTCCAATGTTCAGGTGCTGAGCTTACCATCAGCCAGGTTTTCCGCGTTCTGGAAATCCATTATTCGTGTTTGGTGTCATGAGGCTGCTTGGCTAGGCATGGGCTCGGCTGGAGGACGAACCAGCAGTGGAGAGCGGAGAGGCGGGCGCGCTGCCTGCGCACAGTGGTTTGGGCAGCTGTTGGCTGTTCTTGGCTCACTACGCCGTTGTGTTGTTGGCGCGTCGTGCGGTCAGACCGGGAAAGAAATCTTAGCGTGTCCATGTGCAAGGGATACTGTTTGGGGGCGCACGCCTCAGATTTCAGCAATGCTCTATGGGGGACCCTCTCAGACGTGTTTTGGCCTGGGTGCTTGCCAGGCTGAGAAGGGCCATTCAGACTGTGCTTGGTTCTGGGTTTTCATGAGCCCGACCGTTTGTTGGTTGTTTTTGGAATGATATGATGTGGTTGCTTCTTTTTCTCTTGGAACTTGGCTGTGTATTTCTACTGTCTTACAGCCACTATGTGGCTCAGGAGACTTGGAGTCGACTCCCTTTTTTTCAGGCAGTCATGGTCAGCTTTCTTTCTTTCTGTCGTGGCTGCTTCTCCTCTTCAGGAACCTAGTTATTCAGTCTTTCATTGTGGGTGTTTGTGTGCAGGAACTGCGCTGCTGTGAGGAACTCTCTTTGTTGTTTGAGTATTCAGGAATCAGGCGTCAATCGTTGCTCGAGCCCATGTCGGGCGTCCGACTCGTTCTGGTGAGTTCCAATGTTCAGGGGCTGAGCTTACCATCAGCAAGTTTTTCCGCGTTCTGGAAATCCATTCTTTGTGTTTGGTGTCATGAGGCTGCTTGGCTAGGCACGGGCTGGGCTGGAGAACGGACCAGCACTGGAGATTGGAGAGGCGGGCGCGCTGCCTGCGCACAGTGGCTTGGGGCAGCCGTTGGCCGTTCTTGGCTCAGTACGCCGTTGTGTTGTTGGCGCGTCGCGCGGTCAGAGCGAAAAAAATATCGGCTTGTCCACGTGCAAATGATACTGTCTTGGGGGCGCACGCCTCAGATTTCAGCAGTGCTTCACGGGGGACCCTGTACGACGTGTTTCGGCCTGGGTGCTTGCCAGGCAGAGAAGACACAGGAGGAGCTGCAGGCCATTTGGTTGTGTATTTCTGCCTGCTTACAGCCACTATGTGGTGGATTCCGTGTTGCTCAGGAGCCTGCGGATACTCCGTTACAGAAACTTGGAGTCGA